TGCTTCACCGGCTTCGGCTCCAATATGCATATGTAATAAAGGAAATGCCAGCTTCATACACCCCTGGATCATGACTGCTCTTGTTGGACACAACAGAGTCAGGGTTGTGGAAAAAAACCAATTAGAGGCCTGAACACCTATACTGGAGAAACAAAAGCACACTCTGTACAGAAATAACAATTTAAATATGAGCTGTTCTTGGTTTTATTGCACCACTGGTGCTGCTGTTATGTTAACAGGGGAAAATTAAATTTAAAGGAAATGCCATTTTTCTATACACTAGTGAATTCAGTATACTTAAGTGTCATTTTAATGTGTTTTCAGTACAGGCCTGTATACTTTAATATCACATTAAGCAGATTTTAAATATGCGTGTAAATATAATATGCAAGTGCATATTGTTATATTTGTATGTACAGTAAAATACATTTCGTATACTGAGAGTTATTACAAATGAAATTCAAGTGAATCTTGAATTCAAATTCAACCTCGGAGACCAAGGAGTTTTATAGGCACCTTCCTATGCTATCAACATACTTACAACTTAAAACATACTCCATTGAGCTGTGTTTTTAAAGTTTTTCTCTCAAATTTTACCTTGCAAAAGTTTCATACCTTTTCTAAGGTGTCCCATCAATTCCGAATTCAAATCCTGAATGTGCAAACTGTAGACTTCTAAGGGTATAATAAATCACACTAAATGTCACAAAAACCACAAAACTTACAGTAAGTAGTGTATGTTGATAGCATACAAACTTTATACACTGGTTTAGTGCAAATTATGCAAAGTTGCTTTGGGGATGACTTACAGTATGAACAGCATTTTCACAGACTCTTAACAGGATCCAAGTCAGGACTTTGACTCAGCTACTCAAAAACATTTGTGTTGGTTCATTGTCTTGCTAAAAGGTGATTTTTTCTTTCCCAGTTTTAGGTCTAAGGTAAGTTTTCCTCTAAGAGTCCACCCACCTCTTAATAATTGAAAACGCTCTAAGAAATTTTAAGGGTATTTGAATATATGCCTTTATATAACTTTTTTTGTTAATAGTTTTTGAAACTCTTTGGTCTTCAAGGTTGAATTTGTGTTTGACTGAGGGGATCTTACAGAGATCAGTATTAAACTCAATTTTTGCCACAGCAACGGGGTTGAATTTCTATGCAACCATGACTCTTCCATATTTGTTTCATATTGATTATCTATTTACTTCTTTTACTTACTACTTTGTTTTGAATGTGTGGAGTAGGTTGTGTATATAAATATAAGTTAATACTGAAAACTGAATAGTACTCAGTGATGACTGAAAACATTAAAGCAACAAAATGTGAAAATTGTGGGTTTGTATACTGTATATAGACTGTTAATCTAAAATATACATTATCAAATAGTTATTTTCAGAGGAAGTACAGACTCTCCACTGAAAAGCTACGCAAAGCTACTACGCAACAATTATACAATACAGTATAATTCAGTATTCATACTTCACAAAATATGTAACGCAGGCTTCCTCAAAGTAATTCATAGGTCTATCTTTTCACAAGGTTTAGCATTTTCTAAATTCTTTTAAAGAAAGCCTTTCTGGAGGCTAAGAATAAAATATTGTGCATTTTACTAAGAACTTTGAGAAACTTTGATTAGATGGTACTTGCTTCAAAGTAAAGGGGTTATATACTGTAGCTGTACTGTACACTGCTAAGGTCATGAGGTATATTGTATATGAAGCAAGTTCCTATAGCTTAATGCAAATATAAGAAATTCAGTATGCCAAGGTGTGAACAAGAAGTGCTCACTGCTTCTTGTACAGTGCTTACATGAGATATGGTGCTGTATATAACTCTGCACTGAGGGTACCAATTAGATATTGGTTTATTCCATGCTGAAAAAAAGAAGAAAGAGAACACAACGTTTCGGCCGTGGAGCCTTTGTTCCTTT